TTATTTTGCTCTGTGATGGTTTCCCTCCACAGCTTAAGAGACAGGAGAGCCCTCGGTTACTCCAAGGGTGCAGCTCTACAAGCAAAGTCGAGCATGGCTGGGACTGTTCCTAGACATGATAATGCAACTGTCTGGGCTAATGAAGTGTTAGAACAGCCTAGGGATGAACCTGGCCTGTTCCAACTAGCACTTTCCTTGAGCAGCTTCCCAGCACAGCCCAGCAGCTTTAAGAGCCCAGGGCTCTTGTCCAGCAGGGAATATGTTTGTACATGAGGTAAGAATAAGGGAGTTAACTTTGACTTAAAGAATTCTAGGAACTAGTTTTACAGATACAGTTTCACTGGCAACAAAGTTTACTAAGTTATTTACAAGTTCCTCTAGCTATGTTGAACACAGAAAACTTTTTCCATCCTTTTTTCCCTCCACTTTGGCACAACTTGAATGACTCAGACCTACTAAATAGGTTAAAGAAATACAAACCAGAACAATCCTTCCAAATTTCAAGTAAAACATCTAATAAAGTACATAACTCTGTTGACTCAGCTTTTTCTTACCTTCTTGGATCCAAAACACTCTCCTCTTAAAAAATATATTAATATCTACGTATAGATATTTATAAATACAAATAAACACATATAATTTAAAAAACAGGACCCTTCTAGAATATGAACTATTTGGAAACCACAGTTCTCCAAAAAGTCTGAGGAAATGAGATATGGTAGAACCTGCTACAATACTACAGCACCAGGAACCACCCAAAACCAACTGCTCGTTCTTCAAGATAGTGGCAGTCTGATGATTTGTTTCACCTTCTTCATGAGATGCAACATCCTAAAGTAATTGCTTAAGATTATTCATTGTAATTTATAGATTAAATCGTTCTCTAAAGCTTAAAAATCCCATCCAGTTCCTATTGAGTTCATGGACAACATGCTCTTTGAGCTAAAAGGCAGTGGAAATAAAGGCTGAGAACAGTGTGCTGTATCTCAAAGAACCTGCTGAGAAGTCTAACTCAGTCTCAGCACCATTATGAAGGAATTTACTTAAACAATTATTTAAAAATCCCCCTTCTTGTCCTGCCAGCTTTGGATCTTAGCACGTGTGTGAAATGAACAGTACTTCCCTAATTTGAAATGCTTTTGGTTCAACGAGGAAATAAATGTCAACAGCAGAAACTGTGGGGTATAAAAGCACTGAACATGGTGTGGTAAAACACAAAGGAACTGACAATCAGCTTAATGCTTGGAATCATTAGAAAGAAACAGCTCATTTGGATAAAAATAATGTCTAGAAACAACACTTCTTATGTTCTTAAATGCTAAGAGATTCAATTTTTATGTCCACTTTGACAGCTGCCTTAACATCTTGTAAAATCTCAGTAATGATTCAAACTTACTTAAACCTAATGAAAGTGCCCTTCTTCCCACCTCTATCTCCACAGCAGAAATGCTGAAGAATTTCTACTTTAACAAAACAATCCTCAGATACTAGTAGCTAGTTAGGAGCTCTGCTATGTGGTCTTTAATGAAGTGTGGTGCCTGAAGTGAAATCAGAAGTTAGTGTTAAATTTACTGTCCCTTTACAGATTCAGTCTATACTTGTTTGTTACAAACTAAGTAAGTGGAGTGGAATCTATTAACAATTACTGTAAGGGCAAGAACTCTCTCTGGTTCTTTCTTATATTCTCTACCTCCATTTCAGTATGTTTCTCATTCAGTCACATGCACAGAAAGAAAGCCAAGGCTCCTGGCACATTTCAACTATGTTTAAAATTCTGTTTATCTTCTCACTTGCTGCTTGTATTCTTTAGTTGAACTAACATTAAGAGGTTTGTGATTCCAAACCACCCTGTTCCTGGTTTTCACTGAGAAACTATAGGGACCTCCAGAGTCCATAGAGTGCAACCCCCCTGCCAGAGCAGGACCACCACAGAATCTAGGGCAGGTCACTCAGAAACACATCCAGGCAGGTCTTGAAAGTGTCCAGAGAAGGAGACTCCACAAACTCTCTGGGCAGCCTGTCCCCAGTGCTCTGTCACCCTCATGTTGACGTGGAACTTCCTGTACTCTAGTTTGCATCCATTGCCCCTCATCCTATCGCAGGGCACAACTGAAAAGAGATTGGCTCCTTTTTCTTGACACCCACCCTTCAGTTATTTATAGACATTAATAAGGTCCCCTGTTAGTCTTCTCTTCTCCAGACTAAAAACAGCCCAGATGTCTCAGCCTTTCTTCGTATGACAGATGTTCAAGTTCCTTAATCATCCTTGTAGCCTCCGTTGGACTCTTTTCAGCATATCCCTGTCCCTCTTGAACTGGGGAGCCCAGAACTGGATACAATATTCCAAGTGTGGTCTCACTAGGACAGAGTAAAAGCAGAGCAGAAACTCCCTTGACCTGCTGGCCATACTCTTCTTAATACACCCCAGGATACCACTGGCCTTCTTGGCCACAAGGGCACATTGCTGTCCCATGGATCACCTGCTGTCCACCAGGACCCTAAAGTCATTCTCCACAGAGCTGCTTTCTAGCAGGTAAACCCTTACTCTAACCTGGTGCATGGTATTGTTCCTCCCCAGGTGCAGGACTCTGCACTTATTCTTGTTGAACCTCATGAGGTTCCCCTTTGCCCAGCTCTCCAGTCTAGATCTCCTGAATGGCTGCAGAGCCCTCTGGTGGCTCAGCCAATCCTCCCAGTCTTGTATTGTCAGCAAACTTGCTGAGGATACACTCCATCCCCTCATCCAGTGTTACAAATACTGAAGCACAGATGAAACAGAAATGTTTTGGAAAGTGACCTTTCATGTTAGGTTCCAACATATGAGATTAAAATCAAGTCATGCAAGCGTTTATCACTTCACACAGGAGACAAAGGCACCTGAGTCACAAATGAGCCAGGCCCAGCTGGAACTCAGGACTGCCCTCCAGCACTGCTGGCAAATACACTGGCTGAGCTCCCCTCCATGAATACCAACAACAGCATAAAACTGAAGCCCGTAGTATTTATGATGGCCAAAGACAGACTTTTTTATTTTTAAAAAACATTTCAAGCATTAAACAGTGCATGAGAAAAGCCCACTCAGGGCAGTTTTAGCCTGGCTTCCTGACAATTCTGGACAGCTAATGCCACACTTTGCCAGACAGAAGCAGACACAACTTACAATGAAGACAGTCTCAAACATACAGTTGTACCTTTTTTTGTTTGTTTGTTTGTTTTGTTTGGGTTTTGTTTTGTTTTGTTAAGTTTAGAAGGAATGGCACTGTAGGATACTTTGATTCAAGAACATGCCAAGAGTCATCTTCAGGAAACAACCACGCATTGTTATTTTCCCTGTCTTTTTAAAAGGAAGTTCTGGCCTTCAAGAATTCCTCCTGCCAAGCTATTTTATACTGACATAAAAATGATTAATTACTCCATGCCATAAAGAGCCTACAGATGGCTAATTGGAAAGTGTTCAGACAACATCCAAAGCTGAACATCGTTGCTGCTTGTCTTTCACACCTATCAACAAAGCTGCAGTAACTCAAAAACCATGAAGTTTGTAGGAGATGGTGCCTTCTCCTAAAATCTACATGTCTCACAAAGCAGTGAGGAAACACCCCCTGAGTAAGCACAAAATGGCTGCCTATAAACTGTACGGGGACTTTGTCAGTCTCCCCTCTCCTCTCTGCCACAAACTGCAGACTGGACTCCATGGTGGAAACAGAGAATCCTCTGGGAGGAATCCACTGGAAACATTGTTGTGAAGTGCTGCCCAGAGACTGCTGCCAACCCTGCATTGTAGCCCTGGGAAGAGGGTGAAGCCCAATCCAGCGCAGGGAAATACGTTGTAACAACTTATAAAAAGGACTGCAGCAGCCAGCCTGGTGCTGGCTCTTTTGAAGTGCAGGGGAGGTGCTGCCAGGCAGTGTACAGAGAGATCTCCTTGCTCTCTGGACAGACTAAGGGAGATAGGGTCAGTCAGCCTAAAGGAGCGAACTGCTGCTGTTCCCTGGGAGTGCTGAAGAAGTCCTACCAGTTCCTGTGAGCTCCTGGTGAACGCTGCCTGCCTGTGAGTAGGACCAGCGGCTGTCCTCCTGGATTGCAGACCATGCAAAGGACTCTGCTGTCACTGCTCTTCCTGCCCTCACAGCATGGTTAAACCTGTCCACCAGTGAGGCAGCATAGACTTCTGGAGATCAACTAGTCGAACCTCCTGCTAGAGCAGGATTCCCTAGAGCAGATCCCACAGGAACATGTCCAGGTGGCTTTGGAATGTTTCCAGGGAAGGAGACTCCACAACCTCCCTGGGCAGCCTGTCCCAGGGCTCTGTCACCCTCACAGTCAAGAAGTATTTTCTCACATTCAGGTGAAACCTCCTGTGCACCAGTTTGTGCCCATTGCTCCCTGTCCTGTCACTGGACACCACTGAGAAGAGTCTGGCCCCATCCTCCTGACACCCTCCGGAGGTATTTATAAGTGTTAATGAGATCCCCCCTGAAGTTGATTTATGCATGAATGTCCCATTGTTCTTCCACCCTTGCAAAACACTCAGATAACATGGCAGTCAGGCCATGGGGGTGATATATGAAAAACAGGAAGGAAAACAAATTCAAGTTCATGAAAAGAATGCTTTTCCGGTTCCTTCAAGGTCTTGACCATTTCTATACAAATGTCACAAAAATATTAATACAGTGGGAAACTGTTTGAAAATTTGACACACAAGACATCTTCTGTAATCATCATTAAAGGATACAGTAAGCTAAGATGCACCAGGCAGGATTTGAAGCCAGAAAAGGATCACTTTAAAATCTAATAAAATTATTTAGTGAATTCTAACTTCACATTCTTCCAACAAATACCAGTGTACTGTAAACATTAACAAGTACAACAAATGGAGGTTTATGTTTCACACACATAATATTTGGATTTAACTACTTGGTTTATTAATATTTGGATATTGTTCACTGCACATCTGAGCTCTCTTTATAATGAAAGAGCAAATTAAGTTTTACACTTACCTGTAAGACACAAATATGCTGCTAAATATCGTTTTTCAAGGCCATCTTTATAGGTCTGAATCACACCATAGATGGGAGGTAGAATGAAAATCAGGTTACTCACTGTGTTCCCTGCAGGAGAGAAACCAAAAACAGAGATTTAGAATTGGGTACTTTAAATAAATAAAGCTGCACTCGTTTGTTAAAGACAGGTTCACCAGTTTTCATCTAGAGAGCTACACCTTTTTCAGAAGCTGTCTTCACACATAACACAAATTAGATTTTGGTAAAACACAATTACCTACTTGAAGGCTAGAAATACATTAACTCTTGTTTTTGTTTTTTTTTCCTCCCACACACATATATACTAATAAAATACTAACTTAAGCAAAAAGTTTGGCTCATATGGTGCTTACTTTCTTGGCAGAAGGGAGGAAAAATAAGGTTACCTTGATTGCACAGCTCATGAATTAAAACATGATTCCTTAAGGAGATAAAAGTCCCAAATAGAGCAAGCCTGGTATTTTAGAAGAGCTGTTTGTTTGTTTTTTTCTTTTCTTAAAGTTATTATTGGAACAAGCTCCCCAGGGAAGTAGTCACAGCACCAAGCCTGCCTGAGTTCAAGAAGTTCTGAACGATGCTCTCAGGCACGTGATGTGATCCTTGGGGTGCCCTACACAGGAACAGGAGTTGGACTTCATGATCCTGATGGGTCCTTCCAACTATGAACTTTGTCCTCCACACTTGCTTCAGATACTTTAAGGTCACCGAATGACTGGTTCCCAAATGCAACCAGTTCCATCTTTACTATCAGGGTGCTGGTTGCTGATCACACACATAACAAGTTGGATGGGAAGCTGCACCACAGATCACAAGATAACACCAAGCACTGGCAGAGCGTAAGATAAGGAACAGCAACAAGTCAGAAGTCACTACTGATCACCATGACAGGCAACTGTCAAAGCTCATCAAGAACCTTAACTTCAGCAAGATACCACTGTTTTCCATCCCCCCTGCTGAAGCTGGGATGCAACACACAGAAACGACATGTGTTGTAGAGATCAGAGAAAGCCAGAACAAGCCATGAGCCCAGCTCTGATACCAGGGCATGACTTTTCCAGCACTGGGGAAGATGAAGAAACCTTTATTTTTTTAAGTCTACCAGTCTGATTTAGATTATTTTTTTTCAAACTGTTCTGTCCTATGCAAAGGTACAATGAAAGTAAGCAGAAGGCAATGGCACATTTCTCAGCAGAAGTGATGGAGACTCAGCTTTTTAGCCTAACCACAAATCATCATTTAGAGAATAAACATTATGTGATGGGCATAAAATGGCATGCAATGCCAAGCAAATTCATTCAAGAAGGCAGAATGTTGCTTACAGAAATTCAACTGCATACTTCCACATGTCATCCGCTGAATATATATAAATTTGCAACACTAATTTCCAATTATCTCAATGAAAAGGACAATGCTTGAGTCTAGGAAGAGGCCAAAAAAACCCCTCCTGTTTCTGCCTTTTTTAGCAGAAAACCTCAGAAGAGTTCCACTTTCTAAAATAAAGAACAAGAGTGAGCAGGCCATGTCTGAGCCTCTTCCCTCATGCAAGCACCTATTCTTCAGGAGTCCTATTTATCAAAGAATCACAGAATGGTTTGGGTTTGAAGAGACCTGAAAGATCATCTAGTTCCAACCCTGCTGCATGGGCAGGGACACCTCCCACTAGATCAGGTTGCTCAGAGCCCCATCCAACCTGCCCTTGAACACTTCCAGGGAGGGGGCATTCAAAACTTCTCCAGGCAACTCTAGGCCTGGTCTCACCACTCTCACACTAAAGAATCCCCTCACACTAAAGAACTACGCAAGATCCATCCCAAAGTAAAGTGAAAACTGCCAAACTATGATCGTACAACCCCAAAATATTACAGCGCCTCTGGGAACAAAAATCCATAAAGGTTTGCAGAAACTTCAAACCCAAAATGGGAAAAAAAGGTTCTTTCAGAATACATGAAGCAGAAGTACACCTAGTTAACCTTAACAAGTTGGCTCTTCTAAATTCTCAGTTTGAGATAGTCATCTTGACCAGATAGGACTCACCATTTTTACCAGACCTTCTTCACTTTGCTATTGACTTAACATCATCTCCCATACAATCATAAATTTTATCAAGCTATAACAAGCTAAACAGAGATGTGCCAGAGATCTTACTCTTCTTGTCAGCTCTGTAATAAGTTCTTTCATGTAAAAGAAGCCCAGAGGAAATCAAAACACGTTCATGTTTATATTGATATAAAAGGCCTTTTTCATGCCTAAACTCTTTGGGGAATCATTAACCTTTTACCACATTCCCACAGTGTTGCAGTGGGCAATGATTCACTTTCAATGGAGACTGGGCTTGGAAAAAATCCATTCAAAATCAGTACTGTGGTACACTGCCCATTACCACATCCTCCCACAAATCATGCAAAGATGACACCCAGCCTGAAAAAGTAAAGGCTACATCATCTGCATAGTGAATCTTCTGCTTTCTAAAGCACCTCTCAACTACGTCCATTTTCAAGAGAAGTGTCCTGGTTTGAGCCAGGATGAAGCCAATTTTTCTTTTTACCGAGTTTTTTTTTTCCTTCAGTAAGCTTTCTTGTAACTAGCAACAGTGTGTTCTGCTGGGCTGATAAGACAGTGGAATGTTTTTCTAACTACTGAGGCTTCAAGGCCGCACCTGCACTCTGCCGGCTCAGACACTATGGGGAGATCTGTGACCCCCCCCTAGGAGGCTGAGTTAGACAGACAGCAAAATTGGCCAAAGATATTCCATTCCATGTATCTACGTAAGCTCAAAGGAAGGTCAGAGACCACAGAAGACAACTTCCTTCCTTTTTCTTCTTCCCTTCTCTCCCGTCCATGGCCGGCATCCAGGGAGGACTCTGTTCATCCATCACCATCGACCCTTAGGCTCGAGATCTCCTGACCCCCATAACTCTCTGCTTTCTCCAGCAGCAGCTCCGGGATTCCTCGGGACTCTTCCCAGTTCAGGGAAGTGCTGTGGGAGTTGCTGGGGTGGGGGGAGGCGAGAGGCTTTTGCCCATACCTGAATATATCTGTATATAATTGTATATATTTTCTTGTATCATTCATCAGTGTTTTAATTAAAGCTGTGTAGTTTAGTTTTCAATCCAGCCAAGTCTCTCTCTTTTTCTCTCTCTCCTTCCCTACCTGGGTTGGGGGGAGGGGGGATCGAGAGTATTGTTGTCGGACCTGAGTCAAACTGTGACAAGAAGTTATTGGACATCATATAATTAGCACTGCTCAAGGTCATTTTGTTACAAAACTGTCAAAAACCTGGCAAAAATTCAAATATGAAAATGTCAAACAAAGGAAATACCATGATGTTTATCCACAACTAGGAAGGCACGTGACTTTGGAAGAGAGTTGCAGTAGGATAACAAATTTCAAATGGATGTAGAATGCAGAAAAGAGATTATTCTGTAGGAAAGCGAAGGTTTCAACACTTCCTGTAAGGTTATAATTATGTTAAATGATGGAACGTTTCTGAGCATTCAATCTAGGACCATTTTGCTGAGAGAGGAAATAGCGTAGACCTAATCTAGCTGTAAATTCCTGCCACTCCTTCTCTGCACTTTTGGACCCATATTATTCAGAACTATTCTAGCAGAGATTATAGGCAAGGTTATTTCCACAACATACTTTCTGGAAGTTGTGCACATTTTTTAAAAAAGGGAAATGGAGGTAGGGGAACAATGAAGGCCTCTGGCCTGCTGCTAGCAAAATTACTTCTTCCAAGAACAAAAACTACACGACTCTTTCAAACCCAAGGTCCCTAGGACTGTGTATTTCATCAAGTCTAGCTATTCTTTACAGGATTAACTTCACAAAGAATAGCTTAGAAATTCATTAAAAGGAATTTTTTACTAATTCCATCCAAAACAGCAGTGGGATATTGGCAAACAATACCAAGCAGAAGATGATGACACACCTACAGCCCCATATCTCTGAAGTTAATTAACAAACAAGGAAGTGAAACAAATTTGGAAGGAAATCGATATGGAAGTTGAAAATGGGCCAAGAGTGAAACTGCCAAGTAACCTCATCTTTACCTTTTTCATCAGATTTTCTTAAAAAAAAAAATAGGGGAAAAAAATGCAGCAGAACTCCTTGGGAAAAGCAGAGATTGAAGAATTTGCAACTAAGGCATGAGGCAAAAGGCATGAAAATAATGAGAGATTATTCGTTATGTCTGTAATAAATACATTATATAAATTAGATTAATGCACATGGATGGCCCTAAGCTTAGCTCCATACAACATGCTGGTATTTCAGTACTGGATTCCTTGAATACTGGTCCAGGGAATGATTTAATTTTTCTTTAGTGACCAAAGATTGCTTCTCTGCACTTGATCTTCAGCATGTCTGTCAACAGAAAGGAGGACTAGATCAGACTATCAGAGGAAGAAATGAACTCACAGACTGAAATGACAGGGATGGGATTAAATATGATGGCCAAGAACATGCCTTTCAATGTGAATATGAATCCTTGTTCCAAATGTAGGATTAATCTATTTGAAGAGGCAGAAAAGTGAATTAAGATCACATGGTGACTGACCATCAGCCATCACTGTAGGCACCAAAGCCCTTAAACTTATTTCCAGTAGACCAAAATTGCTTAGCTCACCCAGGCTACCAAAACAATGGTGGACAGAATAAAAACTGGGCTCTGTAAATAGACCATGAGTAAATGCCAAGGATGGAAGGGAGCTATTTGAACTAACGGATTGTGCTGACAGAAGAATTACAAGATATAAATGTGAGCTAGAAGTTAGAGAAAAGCCTCCCACTGAAGAAGAGACATTGACAACTGCTTCCCAAACGGGCAGCTGGCTGAACCTATCTGTTTTCAGGGTGAAGCTCAGTCTACTCAAAAGTCAGATTACATGATGTGGTGGGTATCACAGGCTGTGATAAACAGGCTGTGCCCACAAAGGTTATACAGTGTACTAGGTAAAGCACTAACCACAATAAATGCAGACTGTGTGACTGCCCTTACACATTTTCATAGAAGTCTTTTGAGACTGTTTTAATGCAAACTATTGTTTCAAAATACTGTTTCATAGTGA